AATTTTTTCTCGGCGACGAAGGAAACGTATTCAGCAAGTTTCCACCACTGGAAAAAAAAATTACCTACCATATTTGGGGTAAAAAAAATCTTGAGTTTTTCATAAAAAAATCATTTACGGACCGAAAACCAAAAAAAAAAATAATAATAATAAATAATAAATAATAAATAAATAAAGCAATTGGGGTCGAAGAAACGTCGCCGTTGCATGCGAAAGATGCGAAATGGGTTATCTAACATTGCTTTTAAATACCAATTATTTGTTTATCTGAATGAAAGAAATTTAGTTTTTTTTTTAATAATATTTTGAGTTTAAATCTTGTAAATGAAAAAATAAATGATCGGGGAATTTCTCTTTAATGGAATCTGAAACGGTTCGGTTTTGAATTAATCGAAATCCAATGTAATTATCGAATATCAAAAAATTAATACTAAAAAAAAAACCTTGCTTCTAAGTCAGAAACGACGGCGTTGCAGTGGGAACAATTTTTTATGCTTGTCAACGTGTTTCCAGCTTATTGGTTGACTTTCTTTTTGAATAGCGGACCGAACAAACTGTAGGGATTTTTACTGTAGATGATTGGAAAAGATGACATTAATTTCGTAGCCTTTACATTTATATATATACACACAGACACAGCTCATCTACGCAGTCACAGCAGCATCTTTGAGAGAGCAGAGATGGCGCCGCCCTTTAAGGTTAGCTCTTTTATTTTCCATGTGCTTCTTTTTTTTTTCTTTTTTTTTTTTAAAGGAATCATGAAAAATTACAAAATGGTCTCATCATCATCATGCATATTCAGAGCAGTTTCTCATGTTGTTTGTTTCTGACAGGAGGATTTTTTTAGAAAAATGGAGATTTTGTTATGTTGCAGATTGTTTTTCTGTTGATTAAGCATACCATTTATTTGACATATGGAGTTTGAAATTGTTGTTTTAAAACTGGTTTTTTCAGTCTTCCATTTCAATCAAAAAAGAGAGAAATGGAGTTGGGGAAAATGTGAAAGTTTTGATTTTGGCTAATTATTAATGAGTTTTTCACTTCAGGCTGAATAATGGGCACATAACAATTTTAATGGTAATTGAGATAATTTTATGGCAGATAATATTGGGTTCTGCATCAATGGCACGGCGACGGATTCTAGCTGAAATGGGTTATGAATTTGAGATCATGGTATGTTCTAGAACAACTTATAATATTGGTCAAAATGAAGTTTCCCTTGTGTCTTCTGTATATTATAAACTAGAATGTTTTATTGTTCTGTTTTTTAAGCATAAAAGTTTGAATCTTTCTTGTGAGTTTTCTGGGTTGAAGAATTGTTTGTGGAAGAGATTTAACCCGGTGCGTAGTCTAGACTGCAGATATTGATGAAAAAGGAATTAGGAGAGAAAAGCCAGAAGATTTGGTCATGGCTATAGCTGAAGCAAAGGTAAGATATACAGATTACATCATTTCTCCCCAGGTTTATTACATAGTGCCTGCGATATCATCTATGCGTCACTAGGTTTTATAGCGTGGATAGTCATTGTTTTTAGATGGCCTGTCTACTTCATAACCAGAACCATTGGTTGTTGAGTGGTGTTCCTTTTAAAGAAATAATATTTTTATAAAATATTCAAATTGCATTTTCTTTGTCTATGTGTTAGTTCATTATGTAACCCTGCAAGACAGACTAATCACATTCAGTCTTTTCCCTTTTAAATTTTCCAACCTAACGTTTTTTATGCTTTGAGAAGTTGTTCTGTAACTTCTGTTGTCCTTATCTTTACTTTGTCTTTTTCCTAGGCCGATGCCATAATATCAAGGCTCCAAACAACAGGTCTATCAGAGAAGGATGCTCAAACAACATTGTTAATTACTGCAGATACAGTATGCTTTATTTCCACCCTGTTATTCTACACTTGATTTAGCATAAATAAATGAACCAAGTCTCTCAAAATAAATAAGTAAATAAATGAACCAAGAATCTATAAAGTAGAACTGTTGAAGGTTTCATATCTCTACAAAAGGTTGCAAGAAACTTTAACTTGTACCACTTTTTTGGGTAGATAATAATAACTAGAAGATCTGTTCCAAGTGTCTTGGTGATGTGATTTATTCACCCCTCTTTTCTTAGAAACAATGATAGATAGTTATATGTCTAAGATGTTTAACATAGTATTCTCACTAATCATTTAATAATTAATATTCTCTAAGCTGTTCATTTTAGTCCTGTTCTTATTGGTCAAGGTAAAATGTTACGTGTCTAGTTCAGTTTTCTTAACGATCTACTTGAGCAAACTAGATGATCCCACATAGAGCCGCAATATTTATATAATTAAAGAAAGAATGTTCTAAAATTTTGGAAATATAGTCCCTTAAATGATAATTGTCATCATGCCAACCTTTTCCTTGACACTGTCTTCCAATTGTAAATTAACTATTAGTTTCTGAATCATTGGTAATAAGAGTCATATCAAGTATTCTATTTATTATATGTTCATTAATGGGCGGTAATGGCTGCTGAATGGTGTTTGCACAGGAGGACTCCTGAAAAAAGTTTCCCTGTTTGGTGATCCTTTTCTCTGTTGACCAGTGATATATAATGGATATATATAATGAATTTTGATTTTTTAGGTGGTGGTGTACAAAGGAACGATCAGAGAAAAACCATCCAGCGAGGAAGAAGCACGGGAATTTATTAAAGGTTTACCTTTACAGATTTCATTATGACCTCTTCCAATTACAAAAATTTGTGGGATTTAGTTCATATATATTGTGCAGGCTATTCTGGCAGTCATGGAGCAGTTGTGGGTTCTGTTCTTGTAACCAACCTTAATACAGGAGCAAGCAAAGGGGGATGGGACAGAGCGGAGGTACCACTTGCTTCTATTTGTATTTAACCTGTCCTTGCTCTTTGTTCCTGGAGCATGACACTATTTATTTTGATACAGGCCTATTTCCATGACATACCAGATGAAGTCATTGATAACCTGGTAAGATCAGTAACACGATATCTGCAAGACCTTTTTCCTAGTTTGATTACTTGATATTGAGTCTCTTTCTTCTTGTTGATCTGTTCTCAGATTGATGAAGGAATCCCATTTAAAGTTGCTGGGGGTCTGATGCTGGAACATCCTCTAACCTTGCCATTTGTTGAATCAGTGGTGAGTCTTCTTCCCTTGCTACCAATGAATACATTTCTCTCTCTTTCTCTGAGTCTCTTGGCATTATGCACTCCTTCAATGCCTGGCTGAGTGATTTACTGAAACCAATGTCAATATAAGAGACTGTTACTGATCCCAGTTTACATAATCAATGAGTTCATCATATGCAGGGTCTTGGCCCTTAACTTTGCAATGAATGGTTCTAACCTATTAGAATTACATTGGGTGTCTAGCAGGTTGGGGCAATTGATACTATCATGGGACTACCCAAAGCTCTCACACAAAAACTCATACATGATGTTCTATAGCTACCCCAGGCTCTGAATTGGTTCCAAATTTTAGCTGCGGATGAGTCAACAGGCAAAGTTAATCTTCTGAAAATTAAACATTTTTGTGGTGTATGCACATTCTTACTTTAATCCAAAATTGGTTCATAATGAAACAAAAGGCCTCAGGCAAATTGGACAACTTTTGCTCATTAATTATCATTATTATTATTTTTTTACCTGATGTTTAGGGATCAAATATTGCACATGTAACTAAGAGTCCAAGACTACTAGGGTAACTCAGTGGTAATCTTCTAAATCCAAAGAATATAATATGTAAATGGGTATAAGTTAAGAGATAAGAGAAATTTTATTTCTCATTATACAATCTAAATTTAAAAAAAAAAAAAAAAAATTCTATCCCCGAGTGGTTGTATTTTGTTACGGATCCAGAGCTTTTTACTAGTTTTGGACAAGGTGTATTTTATAAATTTGGGCCAAGTTATCTTCTCGGCAACGAGGGCTTTTGCCAAGGCCCACGAAGGAAAATTCTGAAAACACAAATACGACACCTCAGAAAGCAAATTTGGTGTATAAAAACGAACGGATGCCGGTGACGAAAACCCTAATCGAAAAGATCCTCCTCAGGCGCTGCCGAGAAATACAGACCTCGTTTAAGTGTCTGCACTGTACAGAACAGTGGGGATCTGATAACAAATACGGCATCTCAGAAAGCAAGTTCTGTTCCTTCTCTCTCGGTTCTTTGCTCGCTATGGTGCCTACAATATTTTCTTTTCCGATTTATTTTTCCATTTTTATTTCAAAGTTCTAAATGGGAATTACGGAGAAGATGACCCATCATAGGAATATGATTCTTCAATCATTCAATCATTCCGTAATTCGTTCTCTGATTCTCAATCTCCTAAGCCCACTATTTTGCTGTTGGCTTTCTTTTGTTTATTAACTCTCCTTTTCTCTTTCGCAAGTTAAACCACAATTCTTGCCCTCATTTAAAAAAAAAAAATCTGGTTTTGGTTGAAATGATTATAGCCAGAATTTGGTTTGAGGGAAAGGAAGATAATTTCATCTAATCAAATTAAAAGACAAGATCTTTAATTTGATTTGACTCAATGATCTTTCTTTATTGTAATGAAATACCAATAATTTTCCAGAACTGATTTTAATCCATATATAAAAAGTCTTCCAAAAAGCTATTTTGATTTGTTTGATTTGAAAAACCTGCTGAGCAGCAATGTTGTTATGATGCTCAATTAACGGATGACAATTTGGATTATTTCTCTGTATTCTTATAGTCCATGCCATGTCATGACTGAGCGTATTGGATTCAGTGACTGACTGGCACAAGATATTTTTCAGTAGGGCTTGGGTCAAATAGTCACCACTTAAATTTGCATTGGCAAAGGGAAGCTGGAAGAATCAGAAATGGCTCCGACTAAGGGAAAATTTAAAGATATATTTACCAGATACATAATTTAGAGTTCAGACACCATCCATGAAGTTGCTAGGGACTCAACCTGGGACCATGACTCTGTAACTTAAACCTGTAATTGTAATCTGCATTTATGTAGGAATGGATCGTCCATGATGCTCATGAGAAATGTATAGACAAAAACAAATTTTGTAAGCTTCATTCAATCATACAGAAATGTATCATCTTTAAGTGTCCAAAATGCCAATTAGTTATCCATCATTACATTGCATTCAGGTTTTTTCTCCAACAATTAATCAAGCACATAGATCCTCGAGGCAATGTCCTGAACCAACCAATCAAATCCCTCAAGCAGCCCTTCACCCGTGTATGCACTGCACCCCACAATTTTCCAGTGTCGAGTTTTGTCCATTGCTTCCAGGTTAAGCACCTTCACAAATATACTTAAGATTTATTAGAAACCCAGAACCAAAAATGTTATGCAGATGCAGAATAATAACCTTACTGAGAACAGCGATCTTAATGAACAAGTTATATTAGTAGTGTTGATGGAGCGATCCTCATCCAATTTTCCATTTTTAGTTTTTTACCATTAGAACCCTGCTTGCAATAGTCCTTGACTACATACTAGCAATGGATTGGATAAACTGTATTGGATATAAGCAGACCTAATTACAAAAATTCCCATACAAGCACAGCATACAAAGACTTGCAAATTCAGAGCATGTTCCATCAATTTCATCCTCACCGACAATACATATATAGCAACTGATTTTGATATCCATATTCAAGAAAAAGTACACACGCTTTAACAACATCAAGACAGTTAAGCTGCTTAAAAGCATAAAAAAAGAGGATATAAAACAAAACATGTACTTCAAAATCTGGTGTTGAACAAAAAGGCACCCATATTTCTACAGCTCAACAAAAAGATGACATTTGGCCATATCTAATCATCACGGAAACAGTTATTTCATGGAGTCTGCAATTACCATTAACAAAAGCTGTTTTGAAAAATGGTAAGCCTAGGAAACAAATTATAGGTATGCAGCTTACCTTGGCTATTTCTGTTGGTGTAAGAGCACCTTTAATATCTTGCTTGTTAGCCAGTATTAGTAAGGATGCCCCTGAAAGCCTCTGCCATGGCAAAGAAAAGTCAGGATTGAAAAAAAAAAAAGAGTTCTCAACTACATTTCCTGAACTTTGTTTAGCATTTACTCAAAGTTTATCCACTCAATATCAAATATAAGAATTCAGTTTTTCTTGTAAAAATTAATCAATAGTAGTAGCGAAAGGAACATACATTTTTTACAAGAATAACATAGTTATCTATTTAGGTTCCAGCACCCATAAAATAAAAAAATAAAAAAAAGGGTTATTCCTTAAGTTATGGTCTTTTGGCTTACAAAAGGGTGATAGACCCATCTAACTCAGATCCTAGAATTCAAAAGAGGATATTAAAAGAACTTGCTGCTATGAGGAACCATAAGAATTGATTAGTAACAGTGATGAAAGTTGTCTTACAGATCAGGTCTATCAGGTTATAAATAAGGATAAAGAGAGAAGAGCTTGATTATACCTCTTCCTTCAAAAGATTATCAAGTTCCATTTTGCAATCATCTAATCTTCTAAGATCTGAACTATCAACCACCCACACTAGACCATCGGTTTGCTCAAAGTAGTTCCTCCAATACGATCTTATGGTTCTTTGGCCCCCAACATCCCATATATTCAGGGTATATCTGCCAAACCCATATCAAAAGTAAATCAAAAAAGTGCATCCCAATTAAACCCAATTTTTTTGTTAAACCCAGAAAACGGCAAATCTTCAAAGCCTTGGTAGGATGTATCTAATATCAAAGCAACAACCTATTAACAATGAAATTGGTAATGTAAAGAGAGAGAGAGAGAGAGATTACTTCTGGTAAGTGATGGTTTTGATATTGAAGCCAAGAGTGGGACTGATGACACTTGTGTCCTCCCCATTAATCTTCATCACAATCGTAGTTTTTCCTGAATTATCAAGACCTCTGCACCGCCATTGAAGAGCATTAACATTAGTTTGTTAAAACATATTCGAAGATAGAGGAAGCCAGATTCGAAGATAAAGAAAGCCAGAGAAGGAGGGAAATGGACATACACCATAAGAATGCGCATTTCTTTCTCTTTTCTCTTGATCTTTCGAATGATGCTGAGGAGCCCCATTGTTGCTCGACACTGCACGGAGCAACCAACACCAGAGAGATGCAGAAACTCCGAACACTGTGAAATCGGCAATTTTCAACTACCTGAGGTAGATAGCCCAAAAATCATAAAGGGAAAGTCTAAACCCAAATGAACAATATACGACGTCGTTTAGTGTGGATAATAATTTCTAATTTTTTAAAAGTAGAAGCTGATACCATTTTTTTTTTTCTTTATATCCAACTAATATTTTTCTCTTATCATTATTATCATAATGGATTTTGATGCATTAATATGCAAATTAAACGAAATTTACAATTTATTTCCATTTTAGATTTTAAGCAATCAAATGATTTCACAGTGCCAACTTGACCTTGTGCAGGTTTTTTCCCTTTTTTTCTGTTTTTTCTTTTTAGTTTCTTGTGCTTTGTAATTTCTTATAAAATATAATGTGCACCATATACATATGCTCTTTTTCATTAGAAAAATTAATAATTCATTTCTTATATTTACATACACAAATATATATGTAGCAATTTACAACATTTAATCCCCTGATTTGTTCGCCTAAGGGACATCAAAAATGGGGGGAAAAGGGGTAAATTACAACATAATTTTGGCAATTTGCTAATTGTAAGTCTCAAGGAAAAAAAAAAAATTAATTCGTGCTCCTTGGAGCTTTGAGCAAATAGATATCTCCCACAAACCCTTTCCCAAGTTCACCAATGGTTTTTAACTCGTCTTCTGGGTATTTATTTTCCCGCTCTGTTTTCCGGTGTTCTCTTTTCTTCTAAAAGAAATCAGACGAATTTGTTCATCAATATTGGTAAAAAAGTTTAATATATTACAGTTTAGATTCTTTAGAAGGTAAAATAAAGACTACTAAATGGAAAAGGAACCTTCAATATCAAGGAGTTCGTGCCTATTCAATAATAATTAAAGTTGTGCAGTTCGAACTACACAACACTTTTTTGTTTGTAAAATATCATTGTATGAATATATCATGTGAATTACATACCTTGATCGCTCCCATGTAAGACCAATTGCATCGCCTCCTAGATAATCATACCACCACTTCATTGTGCCAGAGAACTCTTTCTACAGATATACGAGAAGGTAAGAATAGAAGATAAATGCTTTCAGGATCTATATTGAAGCATTTCAGAATACCTGCCTCGACATCCCCCACAAGGCACATCAGTGGATTGAACTTTACTAGCAGCTTAGCTTTGAGCCCCTCAGAACACCCCTTAATGTCTTGGGGGGCATGAAAGGTCGAAAAGCATTGTTAGCCTTCCCATGAGCCACATGCCTCCCTGCCCAAAGCATGAGATAAGTGAACAAGGTGAAAATGTTTCCTAGTTATGCAAACTCCAAGACTTGCTCTCAGAGATACATACCTTGGTTCAATTCGGATGGGAAGAGAAGACGTTGAGGGTGAGGTAATCTGTCCCTGTGGAGAAGAATTACAGCATCATAGTTGTTCAGAGGAGTTTGGAAAAGGCACTGCAATCCAAAAGTTAGGTCTAGATGATCCATAAGTATAGAGGCATATATCAGCCAAAATATCGGTAGTGCAGTAACAACAATTGACAGGTGCATACACCTCCCATCTGTAGGCATCACTTTGATTTTCCAGAATGAGTTTTGTCAACAAGTTTGCACTGCTTCAAGCATAAGCAACCAACCTTTTAAGCTCCTTTTACATCAATAAAATGTACAAGTCAGCATGGAAGAGGCAGTAGTATTTGCAAATTAAACAAATGCAAATACAAGAGGGTAGAAAGAGCTAGAAAAGGGGATGATTTATACGGTTGTTCAGCAATATAATGACTCCCATTTTCATTTCCTCATTTTTGTTTCCATCACTTTCTGAACACCCAACTTAAATTGCTACCAAATTCAATGGAAGGGGATCACTAACCAATGAGCTCAGTGATGATGCAGTCCAAGCTTCAGAAGCCTTGTCATATGCTGTTGCCGGGAACCTTGCCGTAGTTATATTTTGTGGGTTTTCCTCATAAGCTTTTCTAGTCAGCATAAAGTTATCCTAAACAATCAGAATGCAATCAGCTTCTTTCGATTTTGAATAAATATATAAATATAAAGAGACCAACGTATATCATGTCTTCTTAGATAATCAACTTTTGAACTGCAGAACTTACTTTGATTTCTTTCTCATCATTTCTGCTCAAATCATTATTTATATTGACAACCAAAGGAGAAAAGGTCCAGTCATACTCTGCCTATAGTCGCAGAAATCTGATACAAAAGAATTAAATGTCAGGTACAGACAGTTTAGTAATTCAACAAATTGATTTGAATCCAACGACATTAATCTTATGCCCTTGCTCTTGCTGATTTTACCAACATGTTAGAATGGAGAAAGACTGAGATTATTATATTTGGTGCAGCAAGGAAGATTCATATATCTGCAGCCACAGGTGGGAGAAGACTATACCTTAAAAAACCATTGACCCTCGAGCAGGGAACATTAAATGGCAGAGGCTTCAAAAAGAGATAAGCAGCTAACAGTTCAGCTGCTTCCTCTACCAAACAAGCAGAGAAGAGATGTGAAGTGATCAACCGCTTTGCAAGCCTTCACAAACATTAAAACAGAATACAAGTTAAACAAA